TAGGAGAACAGAGGACTCTATGGAAGTCAATAAAAAATAGGCGAGATAGGTTGGTAGGACACCTTCTCAGGCATGAAGGTCTAGTCAGAGACATATTAGAGGCAGAAGCAAGAGTTAAGAGGGGTAGAGGTAGACCTAGATTAGATTACCGTTCGCAAATAGTTAAGGATGTGGGCTGTTCTAGTTTTAGGGAAATGCGAAATTTAACTCAGGATAGAAAAGAGTGGAGGTACGTGTCCAACCAGTCTTAGGACTGATGACCTTATGATGATGATGACTTTGTTTTGATGTTATCTTAATTGGAAGTTCAGAAAACTTTTAGAAAACCTCTTTACATCAGAAATTAAGCACGAGTTGGTAACAGTGTAAACGAATTAAGAATAGGCCCTAAAAGCTGCCCATTTTATTTAATTTAATCATAGCTGTAGTTTTTACGGTTTCCGAGAAAGCAATATAGGGCACACTTGAAATGGCCAAAGTGGGCATCCATCAAACATACGATTCAAAGAACACAAATGAACACCAATGACCATAATATACAATACAGAAATTACAATTACTACATACACAAAAAAAAGTAAAAAACTGATACTCGTACCTATAGAAAGCTTGAGAAAGATACCTGAAAAAAATCATGTTAATAATCAAAATGAAATCCTTGTCTTTAATACGCCTTTACTAATATCAAAATTTTAAACTCCCAAAAGTAATTAGTTACACTTGCCTCTTAGTTTAAATTAAACAGAGAACGAATAAAACAGAAAAAATATAATCTAGTGATAAAAAATTAATACATGCAGGGTAGTAATGAGGAAGTTTGTGAGCACAGAAATGACGCAGACAATTTTATTGAAAATAAATTTGTATTTCTGCGACGTTTCGTTCGGATTTCTTGATGTTTTTTCATTTCATCACTATAAAGCTTTAATTTTATGTAACGTCGCCATCTTAGGTTTCATTCACTGACGTAGCAACCCCATTTCACCCTTTTAAGGTTGACTTTTAAAAAATTGTCGAAATAGAGTTGCAACCCCTTTTTACCCTCCTCCTTCAGAAGTTGAATTTTTTAAAATGCCGAAACAAGAGTTTGATTAATTATATCAAAGAGCATTAAGACCACAAATAAAATATATCTCGCACAAAATTTGCAACCCCTTTTTACTCCCCCACTTCAGAGGTTGAATTGTTTAAAACGCCGAATTACATGTTTCACTAATTATATGAAAGAGCATTAAGACTATGTTTCAAATAAATCTGACCACAAACAAAATATGCTCCATGTAACCACTTACAAAGCTGTAATTCTTTAAAATACCGAAACAGATGAAAGCTTATAAATACCAAGTCTTAAGTAAATCTAACCAAAAACAAAAATGTTCCATACAAACCTTGCTACGTTTTTTCACACTCTTAGGGGTTATATGTTCCCTACCTTTTTTAAACCACTCCTGTATTATAACGAACAAGTACATTATTCAAATTGGTCAAAACGTTTTTGAGTTTTCGTGAGACCAACCAATAGTAATTCATTTTTATATACATATACGTATAGATTTTTTATCAGACAACGAGAGGCAGTACAGTATAACCTCGATAAGATAAAGACCAAGGGAAACGTAAAATAAATTGAGTTATTGAGGTTTTTTACTTACTAAAGGTTTAAGTTTAAACTTTAAAATTATGGATTTCCAGTGACTTAGAAAACTCTTCAGCTTTTTCCTTTAGTACTTATAAGTCCACTAACACTAATGTTTTTACATATCTCTACACTGTCTAAACCATGTAAACAAGAAGCATTTTTCTAAATTAGGAAATTCAGCAATTCTTCGTGTTTTACATAGAAGACTTTCTCCCGATTCAAACCACTTTTCACTGTTTACTGGTGCGATGCCCAAATTATTCATTTAAGTTATAGAGGGTTTTTATTTAAAGTAATAGAGGTTTTGGACTCTCGAGGGGAAGAGAACACAAAATTTTATGAATTTATAGAGGTTATTACGTTATCCAGGTTTAAGTTATCAAGATTCTACTGTATTTCTCATGTCGTCAGTCTACTCCTTACTGTGCTCACTAAAATCGTCACTACTACCCTACATATAAAAATTTCGTGGGTAAATGTGAATAACTACGAATTGAGAGAAAATGAAGTTTTTAAACATAAATTTAACTATGAAGACTTATTAGTTACCGTGGATAGAAAAGGTAAGAAGTGATGAAACTTCCTGGCTAGACTAATGGTTAGAAACATACTAAAAGCAAGAACAAGAGTTAAGAGGAACACCTAGATTAGATTGTTTGCAAATAGTTAGAGATTTGAGACGTTCTGGCTTCCGGAAAATGCGCAGATTGACTTAGGGTGCTTGTCTAGAAAGTCCTCGGACTTACAACCTTTTGACGGAAACACTCCAAAATAAAACTTTGACATTAAGGATGTTTGGGAGGTATGTCAAAATGCTACGAGACAAATAAAAATTTAGAAGAGCGTTCCTCATTTAATTCTAAAACTCTTGTAAAAATTACAAATCGATTCACTAAACCGTTAAAAAGTTATTGAAATTTTAAGAAATTGTAATTTTACACGTTATTTTATGGAGATTCGTTAACCGAACAGATTAAATTTATTTTTATTAACAGAAAAAAAGCTACCAGAAATTTCAAACTTTTATAATAAGTAACTTGAACT